TATGAGTACAGAAATTAGCCTCACCGATCTGGGCTTCCATCCATCCCTGTCCCCCATCAAAAGCTGAGTGAGGTAGGAGATAAGATTGAGATTAGGGTAAATTATCTCCTCTTCTTTTCCTTTCTCCGATGCACAGTCTCCTCAACCCCACACTTGGAGTCTCAGGGTCAGCTCTCCAATTCTAGTCGACACAGAGGAAAACTAACTGAACTAAAATGAATCAACCAAATTATTTCTCCTGTGGTTATTTATACCCCCCGGGTTTTCTTTCCTTTACTGTTAAGTGGCTATAATCGACTCAGTTAAAGCATTTTACCAGAGTATTAAAATGTGACTGCTACCTATCCATCACAGAAAGGTGACGCTTATTTTTACATCTGTTCATCAGCTCTGTAAAAGTGCTGTTTTGTAGAGCTGCTGTAACTTAATGAACACATGAGACGTGCTATTTGCTAGCATGAAATTCTCAGCTCAAACAAGCTAAGGTGTATGGAGATTCATTATAATACAGTAATTGGTTAACTCAATTTACTTGGGACTCCATTTCTTAGGTGTTGGGCTGTTTACATAACCAAAAGGACGTGCGCACGCACGCGCGCATGTGTGTGTGCATCAAGTGATGTATTAAAAGGCCAACAAAAAGGAAAACACAGAACACATTTATAATCCTGAAATCTAGGGCTATTTAACCTTTTGGTGTTTTGTTTAAAAGGCAAAAGATGCACTATGAACGGCATAAATAACTGATTTGAGCATAGTTTTATAATAGAATAATTTAAATTTCTATAATTTAACTGTGCAGCATTAGTCTGAGAAACAAGATCTAAAGCTGCATGATCTAATCTGGGGTTTCATGGATCTACCTGAAATAACTTCACTTCATTAATTTGAAATGTATGCCAGGATATGACCTTTAATAGTCTGATCTTTAATAATAGCTCAACAGATGAGCTAGGGAGCCAGTCATGCTTAGAATTCTCAGCACTTTCCCTTTAGTGAGGACACCCTGCAGTTCCACGTGTGCAAGCACACCCCTCACTCACTGTGGGATCTACAGAGCAGCAGTAAATGCCCTTCAAAATTCAAATGTGGTTGTGCGGTATATGAGAACATGAAAAAACTCCCACCTGTCCAGTCAGAAATAAATTTAACTCCTGAAAAGCATACCTAAGTTGAACAGCAGATGCAACACTAATTTGCAGAAGTTCCCAGAACATATAAAAAAAAAGGGGCTGATTTTATGGGCTGAGATTGGATCATGTGTGAAAGCTAAAGTTTTATATGGGTTGTAAGAAGAATAACTGATGTCTGAACAATGAGGAATTTTAAATGCTGGGCAGTCTATCTATTCAGATTTTGCTGAAGACAATACGACTACTTATCAGAGCCCGATAATAAAAACAGGTTAAAAACTTAATCATCAAGGTGAAACATTTAGTAATGAGGTTTGTATACCATTTTGGAAAACACTGATTGGAAGTCCCAACAGAACAGAGATAGATTTTCGGTGTCAGGAAGTATCTTGGTCATGGGCATTAGTTTCCAGCCCTGATGGTGCAGCCAGTGTTTATACCAAGCATTAAAAAACAACTGCAACCCCCAGTCCTGGACAGGCTCAGGAAGCGGCTATCTCGAAAGAATGGGAGGGGTCCAGGAGGCCAGCCCCCAGGTCATACATACACTTGCACAACAGTGATGACGAGACAGTGGAACTCTTTTCCGGCTTTACTGCACTGTAATTCTGGTTTCTTGCCCAGGACGGCACGCTGCTTTCACAAGTTGTCTCCTTCCCGAGGGATCTGCTCCTAGAAAAAGCCACCACCACCTTCTTCACTGTGCCTTCTCTTTTTTCTGGAGCTGGTCTCTTGCGCAGAGAAGAGCTTTTAACACCTCCCTGGATAATCAGTAAAACCCCAATCATTAAGAAGGTCAGAAAGTACACCTCCACTTCATTTCACTGAGCAAGAAAGGTCATAATCCTATTTCTTCTTTGGGTCATCTACCCTGAGCCTGCACACATTTGCTCAGCAGCAGTCTGGCCACGCTTACACATCCAGCCAACCCTTAGCACTCCCACCTCTTATTCAAGATTCCAACTTTTTGAGCGACAAGATGCCTGACACAGAGGGATCCTTGCTGAGGTATGAGAGAAGTGACACATGATGCAAGAAGAGCACAAATGATGTTTCTTTATCCTCTGCCAAGCCCAGGGCACGCTTGGTGCTGCCATTCTCCCCCTGGGTGCAGCAGCAACCACTTCTTTGTCAGTTCTATGATTCAAAACGACCAACCTTAAAAATTAAGTCACCTATACATAAGCATTTGAAAATAATCAAGAAAACTCTCCAAACAGTGCTAGTTAACACTTTGCTTGTCATAAAGGTAACGTCAACCTGAGCTCCAGGACAGGCCTGGACAAGAACCTGTGATTTCCAGCCATCCCAGAATTCTCCCCAAATTCCACAAAGTACCAAAACAGGACAATCTTGGCAGGAGCCAGGGGCAGCCTCCTCCAGCTAGAAGCAGGCCATGCCCGGAGTCCTTGGCATGAACTGAGGGCAGCATCTCCTGCCTGGAAGCAGGCATGGAGCACAACAAAACACCACTTCCACATGGGTGGGCCACCACAGCCATGGCTGCTGCAAAAGCAGCTCAAGACCACCACAGTAGCACAGCTGTCATGCAGGCAACCCACGAGACACTCGACTGCACTGACACAAGGAAAGCCACCAGTGGAGTCTGGAAAAAGAAGAGTACATCCCTCTCTTCAAAGCCCACTCCAGAGTAGAAGAAGTAACTATTCTCTACTAGATGACCAGACATCAGCATAGAGACACTAAAAATATGAAAATCCAAGAAAATATGACACCACCAAAAGAATACAGTAACTCAGAAATACCAGACTCTATATAGCAAGAAACCCTTGCAAGGACGTAAGGGGAATTATGAACAACAATCTTAAAGGAACTCACTGAGCTAAGACAAGACTCAGACAACATAAAGAAATGAGAAAGAAAATCTAGGATATAAGGGAGGAAATTTACAAAGAGATTAATACTTTACAAAAAAATGACCAGAACTCATGGAACTGAAAGATTCACTCAATGAAATAATACAACCAATAGCCTTAAGCAGCAGCACAGAACAAGCAGAAGAAATAATTTCTCATCTTGAAGATGGACTCTTTAAAATTACCCAGGCAGGAAAAAAAAAGAAGAAATGAAAAAAAATTTTTTTGAAAAGGAAGAAAATCTAAGAGAGCTACCAGCCAACCTTAAGCACACAAAAATTCAAATCATGGATGTTCCAGAAGAGGAGGAGAAATAAAAAGGCATGGAAAACCTATCCAATGAAATAATAATGGTAAACTTCCTAGGACCAGGGAGAGAGACAAGGACCTCCAGACCCAGGAAGCTCAAAGATCCCCAAACAGATTCACCCCAATAATCCTCTCCAAGACACACAATAGTCAAACTGGCAAAGCTCAAAAACAAAGAGAACATTCTAGAAGAAGCAAGAGAAAAGCATCAAGTCACCTTAGGGAGCCCTTATCAGACTAACAGCAGACTTTTCAACAGTAACTCTGCAGGACAGAAGGAAATGGGATGCCATATTGAAAATACTAAAAGAAATAAACTGCCAGCCAAGCATACCATATCCAGCAAGGCTATCCCCCAGAAATGAGAGACAAATACTGTATTTTCCAAACAAAAAATGGTGGGAGTTTACCACCACACCACCAGCCCTGTAAGAAATCCTCAAGGGAGTCCTACACCAGCAATCCAAAAAATGGTAATCACCCATCTTACTAGCCATAGTTCTGTTCAAACTGCTTCTTACAAAATTCAGTTTGGGTAGGTGGTGTGTTTCTAGAAATTTATTCATTTCATCTAGATGATCTAATTTGTTGACCGACAATTATTCATAGTATTCTCTTAAAACCCTTTTGATTTCTGTAACTTTTGTTGTAATGACCCCTCTTTCATTTCTGATTTTAGTTATTTGAGTTTTCTCTCTTTTTTCTTAGTCCATCTAGATAAAGGTTTGCCAATTTCGTGGATCTCATCAAAGTACCAACATTTAGTGTCATTGATTTTCCCTACACTTTTGTCTATTTTATTTCTTTTTTCTATGCTCTAGTTTGTATTATTTACATTCTTTGCTAGGTCTGGGCTTAGTTTGCTCTTCATCTTCTAGTGTCCTGAGGTGCAACGGTGATTGCTGATTTGAGATCTTTCTTTTTTACTAATATATGCATTTATATTAAATAAATTTCCCTTTTAGCAAAAAATAAAATAGAACATAAGAAGTAAATAAATAAAAACTGGCAAGCTATGGAGATAGTAAAAAGATCAGAGGTTATGGAGGAGGAATGGATGAATAGGCAGAGCAGAGAGGATTTCAGGACAATGAAATTATGTGACAGTATCATGGTAGATACATGTCATTAAACATCTGTCCAAATGCAGAGAATACACAAAAAACTGTGATCTCTAATGTAAACTGTGGTCTTTGGATGATGATGATGTGTAAATCCATTTCATTAATTGTAACAAATGTACCACTCTGCTGGGCAATGTTGATAATGGGACAGGCTACACAGGTGTGGGTCAGGGGTATACGTGGGAAATCTCTGTACTTCCTGCTCAATAGTGCTGTGAACCTAAAACTGCTCTAAAAAGTAAAGTCTATTAAAAATAAATGAATAAAAATAATAAACAAACAATCTTGTGAGTGAGGTCTCAAATGAAGAACACAGACTTGTTCAGAGCTCACCTCCATCCCAACTGCCCTGTGTGTCTACTTTCTACACAAACTCCATCGGGTAGCTACCCACTCTTTTTTCAAGACTGCTGCCAGTGTTCTGAAGTCTTATGTTCTCCATGCAGCAGTGAGTTGCGTGCCTTTGCTTTACTGCATTTACATGACTGAGTTTCAGCTAATGGGTAATAAAAAACAAATACATGGAAAAGGTGGAAGACAAAGGTAAAGGTGATACTATTTGCAGTACATCTGTACATGCTGTCCCCTACATTCTAAGAAAAATAAAAAAACAAGTCTTGGGGAGAAAACACTTTTACACAAATTTTGCTCCAATTGTTCAAGTGGCTGGTCTTAGTCAGCTTACCTGAACACCATACTGTGGAAGATGGAGGTTTTCTGGCTTCATCTTGATCTTTTCCTTAGGTTTTGGCTTCTGTTCTTTGCCTGAACTTAGGCATTTCATAGTAGCTGCAGCATGTGTAAGAATACTGTCTTTGCTGCAGTAGGCCAGGTTGGGCTGCACCACAATGGAGCACCCAGGGCGGGTACACCTGGAGGTACCCAGAGCCTCTACCACCTGCAGAGCAAAACAGGGAGCTTCAGACAGTGTGCTTGCCAATTTCAGCATTAAAGTGCTGTGTAAAATCACTATGTAGAGTACCAAGCTCATTGTTTTTAATGAAGAGATACCAACAGTATTTTTGATATGAATAAAACCTTATTTTATTTATTCAAACTACATGAATGTATTTCCCTGAGGCAAGGCATTCACATTTTAACTGTCCTTCACACCATCTGTGGTGGACAGAACTCTAAGGTGACCCTCAGGACTCCGGCCCCTGGTACATATGCTCTGTACGATTCCCTCCCTCTTGAGTGTGAGCAAGGTCTGTAGACATGATGAGATTTCATATCCACAATCAGCTTCTGCTATAGGGCAAATGTGCAGAGATGTAATCAAGGCCTCAAATGAGATGACCAGAAAGGGCCTGACTTTATCAGGCAAAAACCTTTAAGAGAAACTGGCCTTTTCTGAAGAGAGGAGACTCTATTGCTGATTGTGAAATAAGCTGCCCTGTTTTGAGAGGGGCAAGCAAGGTTAGGATCTGAGTAAGGCTGCCAGATAATATACAGGACACACAACTAAATCTGAACTTTGCATAAAAAAAAAACATTATATAAGTATGCCACCAAAACTGCATGGGACATACTTATATACTGAACAGCATGAGGGCTTCTGGGCTTCTGGAAGGGGATCTTTCCCCTGCTGAGCCTCTGATTGACTGCAGTCCTGTTAAGACCCTGAGCAGAGGGCCCAGCTAAGCTATGCTCAGGCTTGAGAACTATGGAAACTGAGACCACCAATATGTGTTGTTCTAAGCTATTCTTGTGGTAGTGTGTTATGCAGTAACAGAAACCTAATACAGCACGAGAAGTACACCTGGTTGCTTCTGCTTTGATGGTCA